CGAAATCAAAAACTGATATACAAAATGATGTACCTTAGTGTAGTCTATATTGAAATCAGACCAAAACTGTAGGATGAGTAGCATTTTGAAAGTTTTTCAAAAAAAATTTCTATTTTTAGTAACCATGGCAACACCGTTCATCAAAATCAAAAACCGATAAAAAGAATTTCATACTTGTATGCCAAGTTATATCAAAAACTGTAGGAGGAGTAGCATGAAAGAATTTTACAGAAATTTCTAATGATGAAATAAAAAACCGATACACAGAATTATGTAACTTAGTGTAGTCTTCTTGTGTACCAAGTTATATTGATATCAGAACAAAACTGTAGGAGGAGTAGCATTTTAAAAAATTGTTTACAGACCAAAACTGTAGGATGCTAAAAATAAATTGTAGCATTTTGAAAAAGTTTTTCGATTATCGTCTGCTACAAAAAAAATTGGCTGAATGTTTTTTAGTAACCAAATTGGCAACACCGTTCAAAATCAAAATCAAAAACGTGGAAAAAAAATTACAGATATGATTTACACAGAATTATGTACTGCATTGTTTTAGTGTAGTCAACCCCTTATGGCATTTTGTTAAAAATGTATACATTAAATTGTCAAGCATCGAAAAAATTCTTATCGGGATTATTAAATTGGAATTGTATCAAAATTCATTATAAATGATCAATTTGTAGAGAATTCCCTACAATGAGACCTTAACATGTAATATATATATATATGTATTATATAAAAAAAAATATAAAGGAGAAAACATGATGTTTAAGCAAATTTATTGAAAATGAAAACATGAATTAATCTCAACATGAAGTTGACTTACGTTTCTATACACATTCTCAGCCCTTTTGAAATCAATTTAATTATTTACAAATATTTCAATGTAAAATGAAATTATATTTTTGTCCTTTTTAATTTTTTTTAATCCTGTATGGTGTACAACTCCTTTGAGAAAACATCGTCCAAAGTAAATCCAGAACTACTTAAATTGGGATGTTGTGAAAATTGCTCATTATTTTGGAGATGCTTCGTAGTATTAGAAAACCCAAAACTCTTGAGAGAGAAGGAACACCAATGTCTTATCCACGCTTCACAAATTAAATAGGTACCTTTAAAAAGTTTCAAAAAAACACCTACAACTTTAGAAACAGCATGTAATATTTCTACTCAACGTAAATAAAGCGCTTCTGGTAGTAAACATTAAGCCGTTAACATGGAAAGAGAGACGGACTTGTTGATCTTGCTTTATCGTCTAAATTTCAGACAATATATTCAGCTTCGTTTATACAAAAATTCACAAAAAACAGAAACCATTTTGTTTGTTTAATTTTCATTTTTAAACGAAAATTATCCGGAACTGCTTAAAATCCGAAACTACTTAAAGCACTGTACTTCTTCCACAAAGCGTTCTGTGGAGGAAGTAGAAAAGAAATGGCACAACGTTCAGATGAGAGGTAAAGCAGAACTCCCGGACGCACGTCGTTCCATTAAAATGACAGGTATGTTTTCCCTTTCTTTAAGATATGAGAGAGAGAGAGAGAGAGAGAGAGATCCAAAGAGGGAGGATCTTTACATTCCAACTATGATATTGTACAATTACATATTTACTGTATAGATGAGACATACCTAGATGCAAGTCTGTCAATGTTTACAGAATAAAAAATGGGTTATCTCCCCTTTCATAACAAAAAAAAAGGGGGAGACTTGTAACATGACGAGTGAAGAATTTAAAATAGATTGCATCGAAAAATTTGATGGCTGAAAAAACTTACTTTCCTTTCTGTATTTGTCCATACATAATCAGAGTAGTATATAAACAAGAGGCCCATGGGCCACAACGCTCACCTGAACAATGATTGCAGATTGCCATTGGGCCATGAAATTCACAAAATAAACTCCTTTTACCCATAGCAATAGTTGCTCATGCTATATGATGGAATTGATGAAGTGCCTTTGGTGAAGAAGGTAAAAATATTTTAAGTTTACAACAGATGGACAAAAATAGATAACAATAGGTGATCCAAGTGACTAAGGTGACCTAAGAATGGGGTTATTTAATTACCAATTTAAAATCAAAGTACAGAAGTACTGACGGGAGTTGGCTTTATTGATCATTAAATTACTTTTAAATGTAATTTTGCATGGCAAGTGGTTTCTTAGCTGTATTTGAATAATTACGCACTTCTTATTGTAATATGAATTATGAGGCTTTATCTACAAGGATTCTGAGCTATTGTAGACATAAACCCACCAGAAATGATGTTGTGAAAAAAATAAAATTAGTGCCATCAAATTTTACGATGTACATGTATTAGTAATCGAAATATTTTTGGAAAATTGTATACAAACAATATTTAACCATGGAGTAGGAATACATACGACTAAAAAAGTAAACTGTTTGTTCCATTTAAAATCTGGGTATTTTCAATGTAATTATACATTGAACATGCCTCTGATTGCATAAGTACAGATATATCAATTATTTTTAAGTTTTGCCAGTGATCATGATTTGTACTCCCTTTACAAATATTTACCCCCTTCTACTTTTTCATTTCCTCCTTCTACTTCAATTTTTAGAGACAGCCTTGTGCTTCAGTCCGAACACTGTTCCACTTTTGGTTTGGCAGAGTAACTGCATTGGAGTTGATTAAAATTAATTACCAAAACTTTAGAAATACAGAATGAATTTGGCATTGAGACAGATATTTTCTTTATATATAAAACTTCTTCTGCTTATGCACTTACTAGGCTATAGAAGTTTGCCTAAACCGTGAAAGCTGACATAAATAAAAATGCAAATAAGTTGTAACTGTCATTTATATATAACAACTTCAGGGAGGAATTCTTCCTTATGTTACAGGTTTGTCTTAAAACAGGAGGTAGGCTATATTGCCTTAATTACATGACTATTTTTCCATTTCAAACACAATGTAGCTATAAGCAAGACCCCGAGACCCCCTTCTACTTTTTCATTTCCTCCTTCTACTTCAATTTTTAGAGACAACCTTGTGTAGTATCAAAGATTTCTTTAATTTACAATAAAGAAGTGAATTATCAAGGATTTAGTCTACTTTTTTTTTTAGATCAATTGAAAAATTAAGGAAGTAAAAATTAGAAAATGAACAATGAAATTTAAGTTATCGGAGTACTACGCTACCCTTGAAAAATACAAGATCTTATTGAAAGCCATGAATCATATATACGAGGGTCATTCAAAAAATACGTAGACAATGTTCCTCATCGTCACATTATTATTACAAGATTATAGATCAACACATTTTCGTAAATAAAAACATTTAATTTGTCGATGTGTGAAGTTTCATTTCATTTGATTCAATTGATCTCATGCTAGCCAATTTTTAAAGCAACATGTTTTGTTGCCATGGAGCACGGTTAATCAACAGTGTAACGTCAAAACAACGTTGAGAAAGTTTCTCAAAATTAGTCTAAGCTTTTTAATTTCATACACAGTTTGTAGCCTTAATTACATAACACTAAACACTTATTTTGCTTACAATTTCAAACACAATGCCTAGAAACCTATTACTTCCGAAGCAGTGAAACGCACATCACGTTAATGACGTTCTTAACTCTTCTACAAGATTTTCAATTATATCCTCCTTCTACTTCAAAAATTTTTCCATTTTATACAAATACACGGCTTATTTTTAGTACATTTTTTCGTTTAAACAGATTTTTTAATTTACAATAATGGAAGTGAAATTTTACTGCTACTCGTGAGTTCCAAGTCATGGTTTATTGCCTTTTTTTCAAATCATGTATTGAAAACCTTTTGAGGAAGATATATTAAAAATAATACAGCAAAATGAATTTAAACATGTAAATTTTAACGAAATTTATAGATTATAAACTGAAAATTGGTAAATTACGACGCTACCCTTGAAAAATACAATGTTCCAATTTTTTAACTCAAATTATTTGAAAGCCATGAATCAAATATATACATGTACTGAACTTTTTGAATGACCCTGGTACATGTACTTGAAAGAAAAATAAAGCAGTAAATAGTAAATAACCATTTATTTAATGAGAAAAAAACCCACAAAAATATGCACATTGCATAAAAACAGTTTTTCTAGTCTAAATAAAGAAAAACAAAACCAACAACAACAAAAAATTCAAATATATTGCTGTTTGTTGCTACAAATAAGATAAAAAAGAATGTAAAAAAATGTTTCATACATTTCAACAGTGCAGTAACGTTAAAATTAAAAATTAAAATGGGTCATGTTAATTTCGAGGTTTAAAGAGATAATTTAAAAAAAAAAAAATAATTCTGCAAGTTTTTATTATATAAGCATGTTTGTGCACTGTATGAATAATATGAGAAGATCATTAATTGAATATGCATCTTGCATGTAATATTAAAAGGTATATTTTACATATACAGAAGTAGAAATGTAAATAAATAAAAATGAAATAGGAAATGTTACCTGACAAATAAAAAACAAAAGAACAACAGATGTAATGTGTAATAATGATAAAAAAAAAGAACACTTAATTATGAGTTATGAAACATAAAAATAATTGCCTTACAGATAAGGAAAAAAAAAGAAATATAAAAACAATTTCACATGAATAATACCAAAATGGACAGTTCTAGTAATATTATGAAGACAAATGAAGCAATTTGAGTTACAGATTCTATATTAATAGTTTGATGTCCAACAGTTTTGCTGTCCTGCGTAAATGATAAATTCAGTGAATTTGACAGCAAATATTAAGTTGTTGGATAGATAAGGAACAACAAAGTTATGTCATAATTTAACATGAATAATACTAAAATGCAGTTTAAGCAATAGTATGCAAAATAAAGTTCTGTTGTCCTGTTCGAATAACATCTTGAACAAATTTTAGAGCATGTATGAAGATGTTGGACAAATATGGACAACAAAGTAATGTTAAAAAGTAACATGAATAATATCAAAATGCAAAAGTTCTAGCTAAACTGTGCAAAACAAAATGAGCATTTTGATTCACATGTCTGGAACCAAAAGTTTGATGTCTAACACAGTTTTGTTGTCTTGTGAGAAAGAGATTTTGAACGAATTTGACAGCAAATATTCTTCAACTACCTCATTGTCATCTGAATCTGGATTGTTTGTCGTTGCTAATGTTAACAAGACTGAAGAAAAAATAGTGAGTTTGTATTTTTCATATCCAGACGAGAAACACAAGGTTCCGCTGATGGACCTGTGCAATGACTCTTTGGTCATTTTTAGTTTGCAAGACTGGCATCTGACTAACTTTTGATTACTGAAATCAACTTTTGATTTACAATTGTCGCACAGGTAACTAAGTGCAAGTCCTGCTTGGGTGATTTTGCCTTCCTTTGTGATTACATCAGTGTCTATCGCTGGCGCACAGTTGATGATGTCAGGAATCTGTGAAATGGTCGTCTGTTTTGTAGAGGTCATTGATTTTGCATTTTGGAAGAGTCTTGTGGATAAGTGAAGGATCTTGTAGCTTTTGTCAACTTCTAGTTTGGATACCAAATCTTCCCAGATGGTGAGCTTCATTGCAGCGGTAGAATCAGCAACTGTAATTTCTTGGCGTTTTATGGGCGATTCCCTCACTACTTGTACCGTTTGTTGAGACACTGATAAGACTCTGACCTCTACAGCAACCTAAGTACCTTCTTCTTTCATACTAGAAAGATACTCTTCAACAGATATTTCAGATGTATCTATAAACTCTTGGAAACGACAAATGTTTTGTCTAATATAATCAACCCCTCTTGTCTAACACTGGATGCAGTGTGATGGATGCCTTAGTTTTGAGTCGGTCGCTTATGGCCTCAAACTGACAGTTACCATCTCCTTTGGGGTAACAGGAAACATTTTCATCAGATAGAGTGAGTTCTTGAATTCGATCTGAATGATTCTTTATGACAAAAAACTTTTCTGGATGGGATCTTTTAGCTATACTCTGCAACGCTTTCGAAAATGTTGAATTTCTCTGTGACTTTTTGCGAGGTAATACTTGTTCCTATGCAACATTTTCTGCTTCTTTTCTAAAACTTTTTGTCGATTTATTCTTTGTTTTTCCTTTTCAATTTCATGGGTCTGTCTTGTTATATTTTCAACTGAAATCCACTCTTTACAAAACCTATGTTTAAGGGATTTGGACAACACATTGTACATTGAATGGGGCTTTCTAGCAATAATAATTCCAGGTAATACATGCCTACTAGTAGGAACCCTTTGCCCCTTTGTGCAATTTAAAATAAAATTAGATGTTAGATTTGTCGCATACTCCCTACACTAACATCTAACAACATCCCATTGAGGGTCACGTCGAGGTCAAATTCTATCAACCAATCAAATCGTCGCCTGCAAAATCATCCTATATTGTTGAAGCGAATAAGTCTACAGCTGTTCCGAATTTGACCTCTGACATGACCCTCCATGGGATGTTGTTAGATGTTAGTGTAGCGAGTATGCTAGCGGATCTAACACCTAATGTTAATTAGATTGCCCTTTGTGGGAAACTTGATCTAAACCCTCTCCCCCACTGAATAAGTTGCATATCCGAATACTTCTTCATGGAATGAGATATTTCTGGAAGTTTTTAAAACCCAGTCGAAACACTTAGATTTTGAGGTATTTATCAGGTATCTGAATTCTGACTCAACCTCTCTTTTTAATCGTTCACATTTTCCCACATTTTCCCTGTGACTGAGGATGATATGCTTTACTATTTATGATCTGTACTCCATGCTTTTTAAGATACTTTTTGAGTTCACCTTTGAACTCAGTGCCCCTGTCACACTGAACGATTTTGGGAAATCTATGCTCGTTAAAATCTTTTTTAATTCTTTGGTGACGGATTGACTTGATTTTATTTGTAGTGGACGTAAAAATATAATACTCGAGAAAACGTCAACTTTAGATAATAGATACGTGTAAGTATGTCTGTCTAAACTTACCCTCTCCTTTCTCATACCAATGAGATCAATCTGTATGCGTTCAAAAACAGACTTCGATGTAACCGGCTTCATCTTTCCTTTGTTTGTGAAGCGGACATGGAGACGTTGATGAATCGTGCTTTTCCCCAAAATGTTGAGGATTCTTCTCTCCCCGGTCTCAGCATATTTCTTACGTAGAGTATGACTAATAGATCCTTGACCTCTCTTATATTCTTTTAAAACTTCTTGCAGGCTATTTTTCTTCAGAACTTCTTTTCCATTACGACAAAGCTTCTCCACGTCGTCTTCAAAACTGATAGAAAAACTGTTCTTATTTCGCCAGAATTTTATGACAGCATTCTTTTGCAATCTTTTCCTATCTTTCACTGGGTTTTTGAATTCATCTTTCGTTAGAACAAAATCTCATACGTTTCCTCGTCCGCAGGCTGTGGTTGATTTTTCATTAACAATAAATGGCTTAGAGATAAAAAAAAGTTTAATCTTTTCACTTTTGCGTATATAATTTAAACTTGGAATTCTTAAGAATATTTGACGTTTATTTTCCTTATATTAACAATAACATGTTTTACTTTTTAGCTTTTTTGGATTTTTCCCCTGTAAAATTAACCTGACTGAGAGGGAAAATAAAGAAACAGAGAAAAAGAATATACAAAAGAATATACACTAACATAATGATTGTAACTAATCATAGTTTTTTTATTTTTAACTCACCTTCTTTGACGTAATCCTACAAAACTGCTTAGAAGTCGTTTCCACTATTTGAATCGTTCGTTCTGTAAATTTCCGGTGTATATAAAAATAAGGAGCGAACCCGTACTTCAACAATTCGAAACTTAATCGGATTTATGTACATGTGTACGAGGGTTGATCCAAAAGTTCGTGGAATTTCTTCATATTTTATTTATTCATTAATAAATGGTTAAAAATTGCAAATGAGAATATAGACACAAGTTTGTTGAATTTTTTTCATAAAAAATATTAAAAATATCTTTGATAGAAACTCTATGGCAATGGCCACAGAAACAGATGTTTGAAAATGCGGTGGAGACATTTCATCTTTCGTCATTATTTCTATTCTTAATAAGTGAAATGAGAAAAAATCGCGCTAAGTGGCATATAAAACGAAAATTATGTCATTAATTACGATTGCTTGACCTCGTATGAATCTTTGAGTGTGAGTTTTACTGCTTTAAATGGAAATTAAGTTTATTAGTTGATGGTTTATTGTTTAGCTTTAAATTGGTAGACAACGTCAAATTGCAACCAAGTTATAAATTTGATGAAAAAAAATTAGCATACCTGTTTAATTTACTGAACTCCATATGAATTTCATATAATATTCACGATGTTGGCTTTTAAACTCCCATTTTACGTATCTTTGTACCTGCCTTCGTCGCAAACCACGGCCAAATGTACGATCTTCTCCCATTCTGGCCGTGGTTGAACGAGGAGAGAATTCTTCGTAGCTCCAATGCCGTCTTAGCCAAATTCTCTTTGCACGACATAATCCATTCCCAAGTTACTTATGTACACATATGACGTCATTGATAGTAGATTTTAATCAAAATTACAGATACCGCAAAACAAAATAAAACCGTTTTAGTTTTGTTAATGTTTGCACATTTCTATTCATTTTCTAGAGTTAAAGGACATCTCTAAAAACCAATATTACCAAACATTCTCTTCTAAAATTGACGTCATCTCGCCTACTATGACGTCATAATGAATCACTGATGTAGTCAAGGAAGAATATTCTGTATGCTTCCTTATTACCCCTGCGCTCTCTCTCTTGTACAGAGAAATAGAATGCCGTTTGCAAGCGCAAAATATGAAATGACAAACATACAGAGTTACCCTTTCCCCAACACACTCTTCTAACTTTATACATCTCTAGGTGTCGCTCGCATGGCGGCAGAGCGTCTGCTCTAGAGTCGCGAAGTAAGGAGTTATGTCACGAATTCGAATCCCACAGGGCGACTTCGATTCGAACATAAGTATTAACTCTTGGTTGACGTCACTTGACCGGATGTTTACACCAATATGTGGTTTTCAAGCGAACTCATATGAATTTAAGGGGTAGCGAAAATAATGGCGTACATGTTTGCTCTCTACGATAATTTTATGAAATTGACGATTTTGCGCATTTTTGGATTCTTAGAAATTCAGTTGTATGCCATCTCTGCTATTTTAAGGAGAAAACATTTGCCTAGATTTGTTGGTTTCTTTGAAGAAACAATTCCACATTTTACAACCGAAGACTTTAAGCATCATTTTCGTTTAAGTAAAGGTATGTTTGAAGAAATTCTAGCGCGCATTTCACCACGTTTGGTGATAGTTGAACATGTTGGTGGGATTGAAGAGACACCGCCCTGTAACTAAGAAGCTTTTTATCTTTTTGAGCTACATACCGTAAATATGGAAATTTTTGTTGTAGATAAATTTTTAGCAAATTTGCGAGTTCATTGCATTCGCAAAAATATGTTTCTTAAAAATAATTCAACAATAAGAAAATGTAAACAAAGTAGTGGTAATTTGCAAAATTTTGAAACGTAAAAATTAATCAACAGCATTTTGATCCAGATTACGTAAAAATTTTGATGTTGAAGTTATGGCCTTTACTTTGATGTTGGTATGGCCACTGTTCATAAGACAATTAGAAAAGTCAGCAGTACAATGAATGAATGTCTGGGCAGCGTAAGTACATATCTAGATACATTACAGCCTACAATCATATTCACCTATCATCAGGCCCTGGTGGCGATCTTGATTACATCAACAGAAAATCATTTCCATCAATGCAGCTCCAGGCACTGTATCCGACTTGAAATTTTCTTAATAAATCAGATGTTGCACAAAAAAGATGCGCAACAAGCTTTTAAAATTTTTGTTACTTCTGAATGCTGAAAGTTAGGGATCTCAACGAATAGTCGACTATTCGACTATCAGTCGAATGGACCGACGATCGAATAATGAAACGATATACGAATAGGTGGCAGAGGATAGTTTCGAATAAAGTACCGGTCAAAAAATAGAGAAACCTGAGGTTTGAATGCATATTATAGGTAATTTTATAGCTAGAATATTTTTTGGGTGCATTTGGAGGGAATTGGTGGCCTTGTATATTTTATTGAAATATGACACTTTAGTGTCACTACTACTGTATATGGGATATGGACTAGAAATACGAAACTAAGCTCAAAACTCGCTCTACCGGTATTTCACCAGAAAAGCGGGGTGGGTTCACAGGATGAATTGTAGCTTGAAAACGAGGTGGTTGAGCCATTATCTCTTGCTGTTCATTGGTATGTACAAATGTTATTCTGCAATTTGTATGGTAGCTTAGGTCAGGCGCACGGGCCTGGAAGCAGATGCGGCTGCGGCGAAATAGTGAAAATAGGCTTGATTCACATGAAATTTTGAGATTGTCCCTGTGCCATCTTTAGGGCTCATTGTGTAAGTTGTACATGTTTTATTCCTAAAAGCTTCATTCAAATTTCTCAAGGGACTACATCATACTATTATTACATGTAGAGGGAATTTAAAATTTTTCAATGCACATTTTTAAAGCAGCTCAATATTAAGTAAACCGTCAGTCAAACGTTTTGATTGCAAAAAAAAACTATCCTCTGCCACCTTCAAGAATGCATCAATTTTTAGAAATGTGAATTTTAGTCTGATTTTTATATAAAAGGGTTTATTTATGTAAGTCAATTTAAAAAAATACTTTGTTTCTGTTATTTAAAATCTGTACAGTTAGGTATATTCACTAAAAAGCAAGGGGGGTTACTCTTTTCCAGCATACATTTTGAAAGACTTTGAACCATCAGCATAATAAATCATATAAGATTCAGGCATTTTTTGCCAGAGAATAAATTAATTGTTTGAAATTGATACTTTGGGTATTGTCGCATAATTAAAATCATGTCTTGCTTTAATTAATTAAATCTAATTAAAATTTAAGTGTATTAATTAGTGCGATATCACTGAAATTACATATATTTGCCATTTTTTCAACCTAATTTACTAAATATAATTATTTTGAAAATAAAAATCAGTCAGCATACCTAAATGTCACTAAACCTAACCATATATAGTACAAAAAAAAACTTTTTTTGCTTTATTTTTCCAAAGTTGACCTATTCTGTTATTGATATTTTCATGAAATATGCCCCCCCCCCTTTTCATTTTTTAAATTTATCTATATTTAAATGTGACAGAATCTAAATTTTTCAATGGTTTTCTATAAAATGACTATTTTTCTTTGAATAATAACAAAACAAAGAGTTTATATTGCATATTTAATGAAATAATATCAATAAAATGTGCATTCTCATGTAATTATTGAATTCTGCTAGGCCCATATAATCTGCCCACAATTGCCCAGGATGGACAGAATAATCACTTTTAGTATTCAGGAGAATGAAATGTATGTATTTGATTACTCATAACTGTTAAAAGTGAATATCAGACACTAAGAAAGAATTCAGCTAAGACAAACAAATTTTTACAGTGCATTTTCATTACACTGAAGAAATGACTGCAGGGGTAGGGTGTTGAACAGCCATTTCCTGGACACTTTTTCTTTAGCATATGATGCAAGAGGGTTTTTTGCATATCATGATAAATATCTTGAAAGTTGAAAGGGGTTTTAACTTTGCAAAGAAGTTATAGGTATATAAAACCAAGTGAAAAAGAGATAAAATGAAATTTCATAGAACATGAAAAAAAGGGGAGTATGTGATACATGTGAGTACATTTCACCAAGATGTGCCCTTTATATTTGACTTTTTACATATAAATGTATTTGAAATAGATTAAAATTACCATTTAACACTTTTTGGCTGGTATATTTATCATCTGGAGTTGTAAGAATTGCATTTGTTTTATGTGTAAGAAACAATATGGGGTTAAGGTGGTTGACCGAGAATTGGTGAGGTCTCTTATTTGGCCATAACTTTATTATTTTTCAATGAATCAAGACATATTTGGTATATTTTTACTCAGAATTGCATGTTCTTTTTGAATTGAGCAAGGATTATTACTTGCAAGACAAACTTGGAAAGTTAAAGGTGGCAGAGGATAGTTTCGAATAAAGTACCGGTCAAAAAATAGAGAAACCTGAGGTTTGAATGCATATTATAGGTAATTTTATAGCTAGAATATTTTATGGGTGCATTTGGAGGGAATTGGTGGCCTTGTATATTTTATTGAAATATGACACTTTAGTGTCACTACTACTGTATATGGGATATGGACTAGAAATACGAAACTAAGCTCAAAACTCGCTCTACCGGTATTTCACCAGAAAAGCGGGGTGGGTTCACAGGATGAATTGTAGCTTGAAAACGAGGTGGTTGAGCCATTATCTCTTGCTGTTCATTGGTATGTACAAATGTTATTCTGCAATTTGTATGGTAGCTTAGGTCAGGCGCACGGACCTGGAAGCAGATGCGGCTGCGGCGAAATAGTGAAAATAGGCTTGATTCACATGAAATTTTGAGATTGTCCCTGTGCCATCTTTAGGGCTCATTGTGTAAGTTGTACATGTTTTATTCCTAAAAGCTTCAAATTTCTCAAGGGACTACATCATACTATTATTTCATGTAGAGGGAATTTAAAATTTTTCAATGCACATTTTTAAAGCAGCTCAATATTAAGTAAACTGTCAGTCAATCGTTTTGATTGCAAAAAAAACTATCCTCTGCCACCATAGGAAATAAATGCAAGAAAAGGAGGTGTTAAAGAAACTCTCATCTCAAAATTTGAAAAGAGCGTCATTCCTAAAACCATTAACATATATATCCTCAAACGAATAAGAGCTCAAACACATTCACAGTTAATAAATAATTTTCCACATTGTACCTAATTATGGAAAGTCCAGTAATTTCATAACGCGATAATTATTTCTCAATTACTGACCTTTCTTTTTATTGAGGTAAATCATGTAGCGCTACACTGGACTTTGAAAATTATTAATTGGACTTATACCAATTATAAATTTATTATTTATTACCTGTAAGAATGTTCAAATGCTAGGAACACACCGCTGCCGTAAAGTGTTGAAACTTCCACAGTTATTTAAACAATAATCTTACAAAGTAAGGACATTTTGACAGCGGGTTAATCATTAATTGAACAAGCAGACAATTAACGACAGTATCACCTGCCATGTGGATAGTGTTTGTTTACCCCTTCCCTTTTCAAATTTATTTTAATAAGCTTTAAAAGCAGCGTGCTTCAATTTTTCAAAGCTTACTAGAATGAAAACTGACTGTAGAGACCAATTTATGAATGTGATTAAGGAGAATTCATAGATTTTGGAGAATTGCTGTTGTAAATTATTTAACCTTACTTTACATGCTTTAAAAAAATGTTCCGAATAGTCGATTATCGTTCGAATAAGCAATCGAATGTTCGACTGAGGAAAATAAATATTTTGACATCCCTATTGAAAATTAAAAAAAATTATTTTTGTTGCTTTAATTTTAAGGTTGTGTGTGATGATACTCTTCTGATTCGTAACATTTACACAGACTGGCCTGGTAGCACACACGATTCCAGGGTTCTGAGAAATTCTGAATTATTCACACAAGCTGAAGCTGGCAATTTATCAGACAGAAACAAAATTATCCTTGCTGATAGTGCCTACCCACTTAAAAGGTGGCTTATTACTCCATTCAGAGACAATGGTCGGCTTGGTGCAAACCAAAGACGATTCAATCGGATCCTGTCTCTTGCCAGACAATCTATTGAAAGATGTATATGGCGACTGAAAGGAAGGTTTAGGAGATTGCATGAAATACCCATTCATAAACCTGAGGATATAGGGTCCTTAAATTCATCTGGATGCATTTTGCACAACCTCTGCATACTGCATGAGGATGATGTTGATGACTTCATTAAAGTAGATGACATTGGACATCCAAACAATTACCCAAACATTTTCAGGAATGATTCCTATGGCATAAATAGAAGGCTAGCCATTATGGCTAGTCTCCCTTAATAAAATTTACATTTGACTTTAATTAACACTAATTTTGAGTTATTTTTCTTCAATTTATTTTGAATATGATAACAAATTGTGTAACATAAATAGAAAAGCAAACTAAAGATGGCACCTGAGTTGTTTGACTAGAGTATAAAAATAATAAAATTAATATGTAACAAGAAAATAGTCACTTTAAGAGTAGTTAATAAACAACAACATAATCAAGAACTCAAAATCTGGTATCTGCCCTGGGTCTGGAGTAGAAAATTAAAATGTAAAAGGCCAACTGCAGTCTCCAATATCAACTCAAAAACTCGAAAAGATATTAATACAATTAATAAAAATGTTTCTTTATTTTTTTTTTTTTGAGATTCCCATCTTAGTACAAAACTATTTTATGTACGTATTTTAAAATAGTTCGGAAATTGAAATCCCTTTACATGAAAAATCTTTCATCGTATTTCTTTTAACATTTCATTAATAAACTGCAAATAATGCATACACCATTTACATATTTAAAAAAAAAGTACTTTGGAAAAAAATTGGATGAGAATCTTAACTTTTTTTTGGCAGCGTAACTTTTGATTATCTAATATTTCTTAATGAACAAAAGTAAATCAAACATCTGTTACATTATAAACAATGCACACTTGTTTGTTTTCAGTACTATTTTTACAGTTTTTTTTCTCCATAAGATTTAAAAGGCGATCAAATCGGTCCATTTTCGGCATCATGTTGCGACTTCATCTGTTGAAGCATTTTCTTCCCCCTGTTGAGTTAATTTTTCTATAGCCTTTGCTGCAATTGAAATGTTTTTTCAGCTCTGAACGTTTTTGGTTTCGAATTTGAATTTGGATCGGTAATGCTATCATCATCATCAGTATTAGCTAACTTTACCAACTTTCGTTTCGCAGAACTATCGTATGTTACCTGGGCTTTAGTAGATGCTCTGTTGCCGAAAACATCATTGAAATCATCATAAAATTTCCAAGTAGTTGCTTTGTTTCCTGTTTTATTGTTTTCGTCAATCACCTTTTTGTAGGTTTTTTTTCAATTTTTTCCATTTATTTTTTACTTGAAGCACAATTACGAATATGTTGTGTACATTTAATTTCTTTGTAATTTGGCCCCAAAGAACATCATGCTTCTTCACATCCTGAAACTTTTCGTCCATACCTAATCTTATTTGTATGCAGTCCTTTTCTTTCCATATGTTGACCTGCAGATATAATTTTTTCTTAGCTTATTACAAATCAACGAGTGGAATTCCCTAATTGGCATAAAATTTGAATCGGAAACCTGTATGAGATATCTTATTTTCTGAACAATCTGTTGAAGAGGTGAAACATTTTGTAGATAAATCAAAACGTTCATTATCTGAAAATCCTTCACTGTAAAAACTTGCTTCTGAATCAGAACTGTTTGAAAGATCAGATTAGGGGGATTGTGGCACAATATTCATAAACAGTTTCTCAATTTCTTTATCATGATATTCTTTTATTTCTAATGTATTAACATTGTGTCCATAGTATTTTTTACAACTATTTACTTCCTTTTCGGCACATTTGAGGGGCAACCTCGTCAGAGATGGGTCGCCCGCGTGGTATAGTGGTCAGAACGTCCGCTCTAGAGAAGCGAATTAAAGAGTCAATCTTCACGTCGCGGGTTCGAATCCCACTGTTGGACGTGGAGACCAGTCCTTCAGATGAGACCGTATAAACCGAGGTTCCGTGTCGCAGTAGGTGCTAGCACGATCCCCCACTGCTCAGTGCCCCTAAGTGCCGAGTATAGGACAAAATGTGTAGCTCTCCACCGGCGAGTGGTGGCGTCTTCATATGAGTGAAAAATTCTCGAGACGGACGTTAAACAACATACAATCAATCGTCAGAGATGGGTGCAGGAGTAGCTGCTGCATTCGCCGCCGTGTCGTAAGCAGTTTTCAGTATAGAACTCTTTACAGCTGGGTCTAAAATTCAAAGAGAAAATGACATAATTATATACCAAACAATTCAAGGCCTTAAAATATATTTATCACTTGTCTCCTACATAAAATTTACATATCTCTCATCTTACTACAAAATAAAAAGAAATCTAAGCAAAAGTTACCACAATCTGGATTATGTAACATGATCCATAAACCCTTTGATATTTCGATTTCATACTTAGTGTCCCCTTTCTGCACACAGATGTTGACCCTGTAAATGTTACGACAAAACATCATCAAAAGCAACCATTAGTTATAAATTCATTTGTATTATTTATTCTCAAGTATTGTTTATCGATATATGACAATATTTTTTTCATACAGAATTCATTGTTTGTAATAATCGTGCGCTCGACCGCCCGAGACGCACAAATTTTGACGCGGGCTCATAGATTTGGATGTATTGACGCCCGAGTGGACTCGTTCAAATTTCTCATTGATTAAGAATTCATTAGTTTCGTTGTTTTATCTCTCCCAAATTAACTAATGGTATTGGTGGCAAAGTATTAAAAGCATAAAGGGTGAATTTGTCAGCCTATAGATTCAAGATAGAAGTTTAGATGATCTGATCCCCCGTTCAAATCATTGCAGAAAACAAATATATCAAAAACAATTAATTTCTAGTAGATTTTTGGAAGGGCTGACATGACACGTCTAGCTGAATTTACAGTCAGTTTCAAACACTGCATACATGTAATAACATGCAACAATTGATACTTAACAAATATTCTGTACCTTTTCCAGCCATAAAATTTGATCAGACTAACGAAATAAATTAATGTCAAGAAAATGCCCACACAACGTCACAGGTGCTCGAAGACAGGACGACCCCCCCCCCTCCCCCACCCGATATAGACCCCTCGGCCTTTTCCATTTTTTTCTCATAAAATATCTTTCAATAACATATTTGAGATAAAATCTTTACCAACAATTTCAAAAATTACCTAAAACAAACGTTTTATAAAATCTACTCTATTTTCTATATATAACGAGAAGTCTCTGTCGAGACTGTTGCTTTATTGGTTTGTATTTATAACTATGGAAGAGAAAAGTAGCCAATGGGACTTAAAACTTCACAACAGCAATAAATTTAATAATGATCCTTGATTAAGTCTCTTTTTGGGGCAACTTGTGTGCCAAATTAAATTGAAATCCGACCAAAACTGCAGGAGGAGTAGCGTTTTAAAGGGATTTCACAGAAAATTCTATTTTTAGTACCCATGGCAACACCGATCAGCAAAATCAAAAACCGATATACAGAATTATGTATCTTAGTATAGTCTACTTGTATGCCAAGTTATATTGAAATCAGACCAAAACTGTAGGAGGAGGGTAAATTATTTAGGAAATGTGGCTAGGAAGTGACTAGCACGTGGAAACATGGTAAACAGAAAAGTTATGTTGCATTTTAGATTTCACCACCCTATAACGTCATTCTGTAGAAATGTACTTCAATCGATCTCTCTTGAATTCATTCAAATTTAAATTAAAAGTATTCTCTATGATACAAATTTCTGCTGTCTTGAATTAAAATTTCTTTTTGGACAAATATTTTTGCATGGGAACCGGGACTATTTTGTTTGGCGTCAGCTAAGCAAATGAGGCACCAAGATGACTTTAACTGACAATTCAGCTGAATGAGAATTGCATTATGGGTTTCTACGAATACTACAGGAATTTTACGCTTGATAAATTCCTTTAATGTACTATTGGTGAATACAATTGTCAGCGGGATTCCCTGGCCAAAACATGAGATCACGAGAATAGTTATGTAAAAAAATGTTTTGCCCATTTAAATGCATACGAGAAGCTGCTCGTTTTCCTTACCCTTGAAGTGCTGGTGTTCTGAACTTGACACTAACTACGTATACATTTTATTAAACATATTTTTTCTAGTTAACGACAAATTAAAAACGCCCTTGACATCTTTCATAGTTTCTTATCTTTGCATTTTGCTCCTAAGAACGTTTTTTTTTTCCCACTCCACTGACATGATCATAGATTGACCTATACCACGTGTTCGAAGTAACATGTATTGGCGTTAACGTATTCAATCAAGAACTGATCAGTTGCTCGTGGTTAGATCCTCTGTGCGCTTTAATAACAATAGCCATATAAGGCATGCAAAGGTTTGTCAGCGTACATGATATTACACATTATTTTTACCAGCGTATCGGTCGCTAGTGAGCTCTAATTCTTGCCGTAAACTATGAGAAGATATATTGTTCTTTACCCCCCCCCCCTTCCTTTAGCCACTCTTTGATTGAAAGTCTTTCAGAAAGGTCTGGAAACACAAGGTCATGTTTTCAAAAGAAACAGACTATAGCAATTTCCTGTTTACTGCAATTTTATTTACACAACCGGTTTTACCTAAAACCTTTGAATAGATAAAGCTAAACCACGTGTCTTAAATTTAAATCACAATAATAAATATAGTAGGGGTGTTAGTGTAGTCTACTTGTGTGCCAGGTTATACTGAAATTAGACCAAAACTGTAGGAGGAGTAGCATTTTCAAGGGATTTCACAGAAATCTCTATTTTTAGTAACCATGGCACCATCGCATAAGCTCTTCTGATCTCTGACCAGTAGAGCTAAAAATCAGCATATATAGAGAGAGAGAGAGAGAGAGCACAGGCAATTGTTTCGTACAGGTACCCACTACCTGTATTTACCACGAGGTACCTAACTCATTTTCGGGCATCCTCCGCTTCACGCTCGTATTTACTAATAAATCAATCATACACCTACATAATCTTGACATAGTTCGCTCCAAGAGAAATTTTTCTACATTGCTAATGTCTGCTATAAAGATCTTTTGTTGTATGCCAACAAAAGGTACAAATAACCAGGTCGTTTTCCTCGACTTCGTCAATTATGGCGGCCAATTCACAGTCTTCATCCAGGTATCTCTGTTTTAAAAGTATAATATCATTGGATTAAAATAAAGGCTAACGTTATTTTTTAAGAGGTTTGAATTGGGAATCAGAACAGAATATACTTAATCATGATTGAAGAACACTAAAAATTAAT